GGGGGGGGGGGGGGGGGGGGTTACTGCCATGTATGGGCTACATAGCTATGTGCTGCTGTGAAGGGTATGGTTTTCAAGTAGTTTACTCTAGCATAGGGTATATAGAATAGGGTATCATTTTTTGGTTGAAGACTTTATCTAAACTAAGGAAACCAGGAATTGCCAGGCAAAAAATGAAATCGGCAAGTTTCAATTTTTGACACTCAGCCTCAACAGCATCCATAGATGAATAATGTACTCCCCTCCCCGGGCTCTGGACCTTTTGAGGCTTAACACCCCAAGATGTACCAAAACCACTTTCTTAACCCCTAAAAGGTACGATGAGCACCCCCCAGGCCTTGAGTACCGTTTAGGTGTGATATTCGAAACAGAAAGCTGGAAAAAGCACCTTCCTAAGGAGATGGGATAAATTTGCCTAATTTGCCTAATTTAGTTTGTTTTCTTGGCACACCTGTAAACTAGCTGTGTATCCTGTAGACTCCACTTATCAAGCCTACTGGGATGCACTGTTACCATAGCTAAGTGTGTTGTCCAAGTGAAATAAACGTGTCTATGTCTATGTCTATGTCTATGTCTTAAGAACACATGTAGAACAAAGCAAGACTGAACCACTGAAATATTAATAAACAAAATAATGTTACTTTCTTACTTGAACTCAACCAAATCCATGACCAAAACAATTATAATTTATTAGAGAGTTATCCAAATAAACACAACAATTATCTTATTTTCAAAGTCCTAGCTAGGCTTAAAATTTTAATGTTAAATTAATTCCACATGGCAAAAAGGACAATTTGTACTTTGACAGTCTAGTACAACCATTCATTTTAGATTCTCACCAAGGTCACTTTGCTAGGGGACTGAAATCTAGTGAGACAAAGTTCACATGTTACAGGGGCCGATCCAGGATTTTTCTTAGGAGGGTTACACCACTAAGAAATGGTGTAACTGACTGGTGAGGTTAACAAATTTTAAAAGCGAATTAAAGCTAACATTAAGAAGAAGGCTTCATCTCAGGGGAGGGGATGCACACCCTCTACACCCTCCCCCTAGATCTGCCCCTGTGTTAAAGGGCTGTCTTCCCCAGCTGGGGAATGAACCCTATCAAGCTAGATGATACTGGTCAATAAATGTGAATAGATAGTTTGTGTTAGCCCCTTCACCAAATTTTTCAGCAGGAAAAAAACTTGCTGTCAGGAACACAAAATTGTTTGTTATCACCAGTACAATACCGTTCTGGGTAGAAAACGAGTTCTTCATAACCTCAGTTAAATTTGAAAATATTACGTAGTCTTGTGTTAACAGCAAATGTTAATGCCATAGCCACCCTGTAAAACAGTTAAAATGTTACTTTAAAAGTACTGGTAACACAAAGATTGTTTAAATATATAAATATTACAATAGCTATGATTGTTGAATGTTATTGGAAGAGCTAGTTACTCAAAGTTAGAGTGGACACTTTTAATTGGTTTAATTTGCGAAGCTGAATTTACTGTTTGTTATAACTTTGATGGAGCTCAAATTTCATAAGTGAAATGTAACTTAAAAATATATTACTTTTCTCCCTGCAACATTTAACTTTAAGCTCTCATAGACTTTTTGTACTATCAAGAACTTGAACAAAATTTAATCTTTTCAGGGCTGTGCCTGGGAAGTGCAAGGGTGCCACTTGAGGCTAGCTTTTGCCTTTTGGTGACCAGAAAAACTTACTTTTTTCACGCAAGCTTAAGTTCTGGGCATTCAGGATTTCATGGTTAGGAACCTTTGGGCTCCTTATAATTTTTCTTAGACTACAGCCCTGCTTTTCAAGGACGTCCTTTGAAATATAACATTTCTAGACTCAATCTCTGATTGAAGAACGAAAGGGCAAGGAAACCAAGCATAAACCTGCAAAATATTATTCTATCTTTTGGCTGATATTTAGATTTGGCCTGGCTCACAGTCTGTAATTAGATAACAACTAACGACAACTCTGTCAACCAGATTTCCATGCTATATAAAAGTTTGTTTATTTTATTATTATTGTTGTAGTTATTGTTACTATTTTAAATTACTGGCAATGAATTAAGAAAAATCAAAAGCATAAGTGAATAAACTAATTTATTATTATTATTATTATCAGAACAAAAAACAAAACAAAAAATAAGGAACATATTTACTTAGCTAAGACTCTCCAGCAGACAACGGGGAATGACTCAGCATAAAAAAATCTAACACTATTACTATGACTTGCACCTCTCAAAACCAAAGTAAGGATGAAATCTCAATTTTGACAGTATTAAAATGCAACAGTTTGTCTGAGCAAGTGATCTGAAAAGGGAGAAAAAAATTGTACACTCCATACTCATTAAAAAAGAGTGATGCTTGACTGGGCAAGAGGTAGCCTCCTATGCAGACATTCTCATGGTTTGTTAACAAGTAATCTTTCCTTCCCACTGAGGGGAGGAAGATTGTGCAAGGAATGCCCTCTATTTAAGAAGATAAGCAAGAGGGAGAGAGCTAATATTTATCCTTGCCAAAGCAAAGTGAGCTAAAATGACCAAATCCTGTAAACTTCCTGAATCGAAGGTACGCCATAGACGTCCCTGAATGACCTTTTATAACATAACTGCGGCTGAACAATACCACTGTGCTTGTAAACTGTCATAGATATCGTACCTAGTACAAGTGAGTTAACTAGCTCTTTTTTTAATGGACATTTCTCATAAACAATCACGCCCATGTTGCCGTGTAATGTGCAAGCCATTTGCCATAAACAAAAACTAATTATCATTATAAAGCCAAAATGATACCAATTTCCTTGATTCACCTTGTTTGACTGAGCAATATTATTTTGTCTGTTAAGATCATGTAATGATCAGTTGATGCAATTTTTCTCCACCCAAATTACCCCAAATTTGAAACAATATCAATTCAAGAGAACCATAGATGTCTTTACACTGTAGTAATATATTTAAAGACAGCAAAACAACAAGGTCAAGCTTGTCTAATACCTGAACCATGATTTACAGAACTGTTCCAATATTAATTATTTTCACCCATAAGTGATGATAATGGACACATGTTTTCCATTCTGGTTGCTTGTGCATGGACGATGTCCAAGAATTGATGTTCCTGGTGAGAATGCTTTTCAAACAGTTTTTCAGTCTCCATACAGTAATGCTTCATTTAGTGAAGTTGTACAAGCATTGTAGAGTGCCCAGAAATTCAAATATCACAACAATGAGCATGATAACTTGCTCTTTTTGCCCTTTGTCCTTTGCTTGTTTGGTTTTAATGTGATAATATCTCCAGTCTCTACTTGTTGTGTTGTACGTGCATTGTTGTTGGCACTTTGTGAACTATTTACTGGCGAGGCCGTGTTAAACATTCCAGCAACTGTGAAATAAAGGGAAACAATGAATAATACATGTATATCTATCAAAAAGTGATCTTCATCTTCATAGAGTGCTATTTAATTGGGTGTCAAAAGTAATCAGGCAATTACTTTGGTTTTGGTCTACTACAGTTTAAGATTGACTGAGTAGTCTACTTGGTAAGTAGTCAATTTGGTTTTGGTTTTACAGCACTCAATTGAAAACCACTCTATTATTATGTGTAAAAACATACTTTGCTTTGCCCTAGTCCAGTACATTATCAACACTGACAGAGTTCACAGTTTTAGGGGCAAAACAAGTATTACTACTCCCCCTCAGAATCAAGTCAAGTTACCCAAATAGCTATCTTTCAGCCCTTCTTAAGCAATCATGAAATGTCAAAACCCAAGTTTCTGCAGTCATAAAATGCTAAAACTGTTTGTTGGAAAATGTCTGGATTTCATTTGAACTTTCTGACACATTTTGTATGCTTAACTCAGGGAATTTGTTTGTGTACCTGTAAGCGCCATTTTGTAATTACTTTATCTTCAGTCAACAGTTTGCAAAGACCCATTTATACTTATGGGAGAGGGGAGAGAAGCACTCAAAACTTCAAGTTACCTCGCCACTCAGAAACAGTGTTTCCACTACACTTAACAAAACTTGTTAAACTTTACCATTTTTGTGTTGAGATGATTTAGGTTCTTCTACATCTGCATTCTGCAACATTTCTAAATACTTCTCAGAGAGATACATGAATACTGCAAGGAAATAAATCCACAAAGCAATTTATGAAAAGAACTACACAAGAATGTTTCACTTGAAGCCAGACCACATGATCGTCATGATCAGGGGTTTAACCAGGGGTTTCATTATCATTCTCAGCAGGAGGGTAACTGGTTTTTACAGGCAGGAAAAACTTTTTGAACTGAACTTTTTTATTAGAAAACGTTTTCACTAGATGGTCAAACTAGCCAAGCAAAATCATCCTCACAGCCTATCAATTTGCCCGATGCCTTAATGAAACTTCTGATTTAACACCCTAACCATCATGACACTGCACCTCTTAATCATTATTTGAGCGTAAATTTTTTTTGCTGGATATAATGGCTTTTAGTTGAAGAAAAGGTCGATTATTGCTACGATAAAAATCAGTTCAATTCATACGATGTTACCTTGACATTTAACATTCTGAGTTGCCATTTGCTCTGTGTGAAACCATTCTTACACGAAAATGCATTTCATCTGCACAACTCATTTTCACTCACCATCATTTACATTTAGATCCTCTTTCACCGAGGTTCGATAAAATTTTAACCTTAATTTCTTGGCCAGTTCATCTGCCTCCTCACTGAAATGAAGTAAAATAGAGCTGACATTAGACTGAAGGCAACAGATTGGGTCATTAATCAAATCGCATACTTAAGGCAGTGGAGTACAATTTAGATCTTCCCATGATCACTTTGGTATCAAGAATTTTAATAAAACTGACCAATTTACTAATGGCACAATTAATATGCCATATTGTTACATTACTGAGAAAATTGTTTCTTATTAATTAATTTGTGATTGACTGACAGAAGACAAACTTAACATTAACTTAATTAGTTTGCACTGGAGGGAAAGTTAATACACACGCATGCATCCAAAATTTTCTCAAGTTACTATCATACACACATGAGGCCTTACAGGACACTTGGAATGAAGTTGCTACAGGAAGGGAGCATAAACATGAATGTAACAATATGAAAGCTTGAACAATAAAGAATTTACACTACTCATGATATTTGGACATTCTCTCAAAAGGCCTAAAGACTTGTGCATTGTTGAGAGAATTTTCAAATAACTCTTGCACTGTCCTTATCGTAGATGCATTCCTTTGACTTCTACTACATGTAATGTGTACTAACACCAGAGTTGTCATTAAGGACTGTAACCCATAACACCAGTTATGGCTGACTGTGCTTGATGGGCCTGTGATGTCACCAGTGAACTTGCTGGTTGTTGATACATTTAACCCCCAAACAAATAAATAATGGGTGTGAAGATCAAGGAGTGAAGATCAAGGTAACAGGTGACCCAAAACTTAATGACAGCCCTGAACACAACTGGAGGTTACAGGTCTAACAACTACGAAGATCAATATTTCAATTGCAAAGAAACATACGTTAACTTGAAAACATGACAAGAAATAATCCACCAATACAATCTCACTTACACTTTAACTACTGCTTGATCAATCAAGTCTATTTTGTTCTGAACTAATACCATTGGTATACCACCACATTCTTCTTCCACCTGTAAAAGGATGACGCAAAATGTGTATGATCAAGAAAGAGCTTTATGTAGTGCTTCTGCCCTTTTGATGGCCAAATACTAATCCCTTCAAAGTTATACACAGACTACAATTTTGACACGTTGCCGCAGCAAATTGCTGGTTCCCATTTCAAATAATCCTAACCTTGGTTGTTTAAAGGTTGGATCGTAGTTTTTTTCACCAGTTTAATCACTATTTGGAGCATAGTGTAGTTGGTTTTGTCCAGCCTTATCATCTTGGCAGTGATTCACCTGCTCAATGGTGCTACCCACCCTTACAAAAAACAAAGCTTTGAGTGTCTTGTCAAAGACCAGAGTTCACTGGCCAGTCATAAACTCTAGATCTTGAATGCGATTGACACCATCATGATACTCAAAATTGTCTCCAAATTTATACATTAAAAATCCAAATACCAAATAAATGCTGAATCCTATACATGTACTGCATTGATAATTGTTATCTCTTCAGTCCTTGGCAGTGCATGCTAAACTATCTAACTTTGATTCTCCTTACCCATAAATGTATGATATCAGGCCATAGGAAGTAATGCTTGATCACCTTGGCAAATTCTTGCAAGGTATCAAAAAAATAAATATGAATAATGAAAAAGCTATACCTTGAACTTCCATTTTTCTACAGCCTCAAATGAGTCTCTGTCAACAGTTGAAAATACTATGGCACAAGCTTGTGCACCTACAGTCAAGAACACAAGGCAAAAGAACACTTGATCAATGTGCGAAACATTACTTAATGCTACTTGATCCTTGTTGATTTCCATCAGTCAGCAATATATGCGTAGTTCCAGACGATACCCATACCTCCCCCATGAAAGGAATTTTTTTCTAAGACCGCTTTTATTCAATTAGTAATTTGCAAGGATCTCCTACTAAGAATTAAAGTAACAACTTTGCTGTCCAGCACAAACTTGTGCTATAAAATGCAAAAAGAAATAAATTAAAACACTGAGTCTGTTTACTACCTAATAACACCATACTTCTCTTTTTAATTACAAGTAAATTGATTGTTAACACTTGTTTGTCCAATACGCTCAACTCCTGGCCAATCAGTCGCATGTCAGCATGCGTCACCGCTCTGATATCAACATATCAAATGTGTGACATCATTATCTTCATATTAATGTCAAAGGATGTCAGGAAATGAACAATGGACTCTTCATTCAGGGGGCTCATGCAAGGGTATCTTAAAAGATCCAGACAGTTCTTCACATTCATACATGGATAAAATAGAAATTATCAGCGATCTGAAGGAAGATTTTATACCGATGATGTTTCGAATGCCTTTGATCTTTGATATTCACCGGACGCAGCCAGGCGGAAAGGATTTTACAGTATGCAAGGACCCCTATTGTGCTCATAACTCACGCTCTCTACAAAGAACTCGACAATACAAAGAACACAAAGACTATCATCTCCGTAAAAACGCAGGCATTCAAAATGAAAACTCTTGAAACAAGGGTAGACCTATTTTCCTTGTTCGTCAGTCACTTTTATGCGAAGGTCAAGCTTATGATAAGAAACCAATGCAAACTTGTTTATGATATTGTGAATTGCTTATGAAGGCCGAAGGGTGCGCTAAACTTCAGAGAATGATGTAAAGTAAGCTTAAAAATAATAACAAAAACAAACCCATCAGAGGGTGAACATGACTCAATTACTTTCACTTCATTTTTCAATAAAAAATTAACCACCCAAAACAGTACGGTGTTAATTCATGAATTCGAAAATTAACAGGAAATTAAAAAGTTTCCCCCATGACAAAGGTAGCTAGCCAGAGTATATAAAAACCCGATCGAATATTGTTAATAATCCATAGCCTGCACATATTGAGGATAGCAAATCATCCGAATAAAAACTGAGGCAACGTGCAATTTAATTACAAAAACTTGTGCAAAGCTTTAGCAAATCTGCCGCTCCAAAGTACAATCCCGATGGAATTCGAGAGTTTTCTTTTGAAATCGATTCCGATAAAACAGACACAAATCAGGTTCTTTTCACGCTTGTACTACATTTAAACCTGAAGATTTTCGAAAACTGTAGTAATCAGAGATCGCAAAGCACAGTTTTACTTCCACACCGTTAATACAGACAAGCAGCATTAGTGTACGAAAAACTTACCTCGATAATAAGCTTTCGTTATGGCGTCAAATTCTTCTTGTCCTGCTGTATCCCACAACATAAGCCGGACGTCTTCGCTCCGTATACTGAAACGAATAAAAAAATTGTTTAAAAACACCTTTTCTTTGAATAAAAATTTACCTAAAAACAACAGAAACGATTACTCACGGTTATAAACACTGCTTTAATATGCAGAGACGACTCGGAAATCGTATAACATTTATCAGAAAATCACCAAGCGGTCTTTTGATAGACTGTATCATTATTCCTGGAGGCTGGTTCAACAGTTAATAAAAACCTTACCCATTGTTTCCCCTTACCTGATTTGCCGTTCTAAGAAATCCACCCCTATCGTCTTCTTGTAGTCTTTGGTGAAAATGCCTTTGCAGTATCTCTGAATCATGCTACTTTTGCCAACGGCTCCATTGCCAACCACGACCACTTTGATCGCAACTTCTACGTCTTCTTCCCGCATGATGGCTAACTAGGAGGTGTAAATGTGTCTTTAAATCACCAAGATGTAGTTCGTGGGTGAACACTAACCAGAGGTATCTAATACTATGAACAAATTCCTTCGAGTTCTCGACAAACCTTATGATTATTTCCCACAACAAAGCATTGCAGCACGAACGAAACAAGTCCCAGGTTCGAGCGCGCGCAGGAGAACTTTGATGCAGAAAAGAACGACTCACGGAAGCAGATGCAGATCGCGTACCTCAGTTATGAGTTGGCCTTGTATGCAAAACTATTCCTTGTACTTCTTTGCAAGGAAGTGTTCCAATAACGAACGAGCAATGGGGCTGTGGTGGCAATATCGCGACGAAGAGGTGGATTTTTCCGAACTCGAGCTTTCAAGACAAAAAGCATTGTGGGTAATTTTACCTGGCGGCTCTGTTGCTATGACATTATAAACACTACAAGATCATGTTTTGTCCTCCTGACTAATTATTATAACATAATTACAGGTAACTTTATCTGTTCTTTATTTCAAAAGTCTGGTAGGAATTAAAACTTGAATATTGCCTTGGGACTACGTCGAGTTTTTGGTTCCACTGCCGAATCCAAAACACTCATGCGTAAAAAATGCTGTCAGTTTGTAGTAAAGCCTCTGAAAGGGCCTGGATGGGGGTGTTGTAATCTCAATAAAAAGTTAAATTTCATTCGGCGATTTCTAGGCTGCGTCGCAGACGGAAATATTCTTAGTTAAATTTGGGCTAACTCTCAGCAATGGGTAAAGCCAGCCATCATGAGAATCTCCCAGAGGAAACGATGGATGAACATCAAAGCTTGTTGTAAACGGTGATCGTCAGTGAGTCCAATGATAGACGATAAGCGAGAATGCATCAACAAAGCCACATCGACGAAAGCGCTTGTCCTTCATCCACGTCTCTGATCCATAGAGTAGGAGGACAGGTTTGACGTTGCTGTTGGAAGTCCTGCTCTTGGTCTGTAGTAGCAGTTCTTTGGAAGTCCAGATGTTCCTCAACTGCAGGAAAGCGACTTTTGCCTCGCCGATGCTGGCTTTGACGTCAGCCCAGCCCCCCTCCACCAACCACCCCTAATTATCACTGAACTACAATCCTTTGCCTCGTTAATTGTCTAAATACGTTGGTAGATTGAACAGAGGTTAAATGTTTTCATTCATTATAAAGCGATTCTCTACAATACAACTTGCTTTGACCAATCACAGCGTACCAACATCAGTGTTTCCCCGCGCCTTAATTTCATACCCAGATGTCACTCTGTTTTGGGAGACCTGGGTTCGAAATAAGCCTATTCTCGTCCCCAGAGCCTCCATTTTTTGGTCACGTGGTCAGCGAGTAGCACTGGGGACGAAAATGAGGTTAGCCACACCTGACACTAGCTATGCGTCGACTTCTCACTGGTTCATTGCACTTAATTGTGATACCCCGGATCTGATAACTTCGCCGTTTTTTTACGAGTAATTTGTCATGCAGTGGATTCGAATTAATCTTCGGTTGGGCCCCGAACATTTAGCAAATTGATCTGAAATCGTAGTATACCTGGTTATATATGCTTCAGTAAATAGGTTTGTTTAGCTGGTTTCACAATATTTAAAGCTCTATTTGCTGAATCCGAGGATTACGCTGTTCATATATTTGGATTTTTCTTCAAAATCATTTTCAGTTAAGTTAGCTTATAAATGTTATTGTACATCCTCGAGCCAGACGCTTTTGTTGTCTGACTTTGCTTTGATGTCACCGCTTTCAAATAAGCTGAGACTAGTCTGCCTGTCTCTTCAAACATTTAATTTCCTTAGCCGGACGGTCTGTGAAAATCGGCACATGGCTCGAGCTTAGTTCCGATCAGGTTGTTGATATTTTTTTGCGCCAAAACAGTCGGTGAGATAGCAAGTAATTATGACACTGACTTAAGATATCTGAGACAAAATAGAGGCTGACACATAAAACGGGAGGGGAGAATAGGAAATGTCATCTGATCAAATTAGTACTTACACGGTAGAGAGTCAGTTTAAAGTGGGAAGTCATAATATGAAAAGTAAACTGTCATCGTACCCGTGCGAGGACACGTGTGAAAATTCATGCATGTTCCCAAACTTGAAGCAGCAGTTTGTTCAGAATATTTGAACGAAGTTGTTATTTGCAGTAAAACCCGCAAAAACTGATAACCTTGGCGAAACAGCACAAGCTGTTGCTATTTGTCTTTTACAAGATCATATTCTCTTGTCTTTTATCATTTAAATGTCCTCTTGCTAACATTATCAATTATCAAATTATACTCTGAACGAGTTAGATTCTTTCATCACAAGATGAAATAGATAGACGAGGAATTAATTCCAAAAGCGGTTTTAGACTCACTTTGCCTGGAATTACATAACAAAACTCCCTTAAAAACAGCTTTTTAATAATGAAGTTGTAAACTAACAAGAACTGTAACATGCCAATGCTATTTTTAATTTGTCCACTTCAATACCATATTCTAAATCATGACCTCAGGCGTGCGGTTTTGTGGCTATTAAAATACTTAAGACGAGTCGAATCTAGCTGTCGTTGATTTTCTTTTTGCCATTTTATATATAGAGAATCGTCTTTCACAGGAAGAAATGACTGCGCGCACGATTGGGCTGTTAAAATTCATGACCAGGCCTACAGGATATCGAAACGGCTGGATCAGGAATTAAGATACTATGAGATCACGGCTAATTTTACTTTTTGAGCGAATGAAATTGTCATAAATCCTCATACTTGTAGATATTCGCGCGTTCACTTTCATATATTGTTCAATAACTTCATCGGTCGAAAGTCACAAAAAGGAAAGAAAGCGGAGACAAAGATGTCGGCAATAGATCAAAAACGCGAACATACCGAAGGGACACTTTAATTTTGAACATTTCAACCTAGACATGGTTGATTTATTCATGTGGCTGTTCCCAATATGGATTTGAATTTGAATGCGATGAAATCAGCTTAAAAAGAAAAGCAACTTTAATTGACCGGATAGAATGATTGAAAGACGGAGACTTAAATAAAAGTGGGCGCCCTATTTGCATAGTAATTATGCAAACTGGAAAAAAAATAACAGAGCATTCTTTTGAAAAATAGGCATTTTTTCAAGATACAAACGACAAATCTTGTCTTATCTTCCTCGACTTGGGGGTCCAAAACAAAGGCAACGCACACTGAGCAGGAGAAAGCAGCGAATTGAACAGAAAATTTCGTTGAGTGTTTACAAATTATCCTTGAAAATGAAGAGCAAAATGCTCTATGGGGCAGTTCGTTAAGAATCAGCGTCAACATCGTATTTTGAGGGGAAATGTCAAAAACATTTGTTCACGTTTAAGATGATAAATGCTTGACAAACAAAATAGTGGCAGCATTACGGATGCAAAACCTTAAGGTTAACCGCCTAATCATGGACAAGAGTGTAAAAGGAAATATTTAACCCGCGAAAGAATTCCTTCCCTCGAGAGTTGAACCGTATCAAAAAAATGTAGGTTTTCTTTGTTTTTGCACCATTGAAAACACAACATTTGCTGTTTCTATCGATGGAGTAAATTTAATTCCCACCAGCAATAAAATATTTATCGATGTCACTACTTTCCGTGAGCCAATGAGGAAGAAGTTGGACAAATGCCTCAGAAAGCCGTGTGAATTTCTAATGAAACCACCCACGAAATGTGAAAAGAATTTCGCACTCTCGCCATTACGTTAAAAATTTGCCTTCGCGACCGTCGCGGAAGGTGTCTTTACAGCGATCTGGCTTCGCACACAGGAGTGATGCTTCTCTCAGAGATTCTCAAATGCTTTCGAGCCCCGCTGAGTGAAGACCAAGCTTTGGCTGTGTGTTATCAAAGTGCAAAGGAATTGATCGCCATTCGGAAAGAAAGCTTCGGGGCTTTAATACGGCAGAAAATCGGCATTGAACTCTCAGCTATAGAAATTCGCAAAGATGGCAGCGTTTTCTTCGGCAAAATAGAAGAATCTTCCGTGGTTCAAGAAGAGTCCGCTGTGCTTTTCGATTTGGGAAGCGTTGTATACGAGTGCCTTGATTACGGCATGGAGGCGTTTGTGGAGCGACAACTCGACGAAAAACTCGAGAAACTCATTTTGGACATGACGAATTGCGACCAAGGTGACGAGGGCGTCTCGCTTCCAGAAAACTATCATTTCGATTTGCCGAGCCCAAGCGAAAGGCTTCCATCGAAACAACAAAGAAATTGCTCCATAAAAGATCAAGGGATCAAAAGTGGGGACATCACGCTGGAGGCTGTTTTGAACCGGTGTGCTAGCCACCTGCCTGGGGACATTATCGACCCCGGCGAGCATTTTCGCGCTGTTTGTCGAGCGCTGGTCAACGAAGTCGCCGAATTGTCCGCGTTTCTTCACCAACTTTGCAATGGACGCGCACTTGTCGCTCAAACGTGGGGCCGAGGTGTAGGGCCGACAAACTGGGCGTTCTTGCAAAGCTTGCAAGCAGCAGAATGGGCGCAGTTGTGGCTGCAAGTTATGAGGGAGCTGCGACAGGGAGTGAGCTTACGACATGTCGATCGCGCGAAATTACCGCCCATCACATACGAGCTCTCGCCTTATGAAATCCTCCTTAAGGATATACGCTCCAAGCGCCACACATTGAATCACGTCGCCATCACCGCTCAAGTAAAGAAGGACGCTCACGATATGATCTTGGAGTTTATTCGCTCGAGACCTCCGCTGTCGAAGGCAAGTCTTCGCAAGATGAAGCAACACCCAAAGAAGAGCCCGAGTTTGCACGATAAGTTATTGAATGAGATCCGATCATCTCCGAAGCTGAAACCTTCGCCGAGACCAGTCTTAAAGAGCGTGAGGGAGATCTACTTCGAGGAACAGACTGGCGTCTCTTTCACCGAGATGGATTTCACACCACCTAAACGGAAATGTCTCAAGCCAGCGATCAGATTAACGGAGTTGATAAACCGCTGGGACTCGACATCTACCGTCGAGATCGACGAACCATCGCCGAACATCAGCCGATCGTCGACACCACTGATAACGGTGGCCGACGAAGATGAATGCATCGACGGCAACGTGCTTAGTAAACCGGCGGAAATCTTCGGAAACGTGAGGCGGGCCAGCAACTCTAGCGACTCGAGTTTTCTGTCGTTCGATGACGAGGACTGCATCAAGAACAGAAATTTCAACAGCTTTGAAATGAGCGACGTCGAATGCGACCCAGTCTTCCCTCCGTCTCTCAACAATCTGCGCACTGTCACCATCACGTCCAAAATCCTCATGACCCTGACGGAGGTAAAGCACATGCGCAGAACATTGGCTTTACTAGACTTGGGCGCCTTAGATCCTGAACAAAGGCTCTACAAAGATCTGGCCAATGGCAGGCTGTGTTTCTGCTGCCAGTCCAGGAAATTCTCCATATTTGGAAAATGGTCGCGGGTGTGTGAAATCTGCGAGTGTAAAGTGTGTTATTCATGCATCCATGTCGTGGGAAGTTCATCGAGTTACATTTTCCAGGAAGACGTCAGCTTGAATCAAAGAGATTCTGGCATTGCGGACATGTCCTGGCCATTCGTGGGCTACCTTAATTTTGGCGGAGAATCGGAGGAGGGTAAAATGCACAAGATTTGCTTGGCTTGTAAACGATTCATAATTATGCATTGCTAAATATTGAAACAATTTAGGTAATCTCATGTCGAGCAGCTGTAGTAAACAAAAACAAAAAAGTAAACAGAAAACAAGAAAACAAGAAAACAAACAAACAAACAAAAAAACAAAACAAAACAATAAAACTTTTGCCACAGATGTAAACACCAATAGCTTATATGTGAGGCGTTGCACCTTAAATTTAGAACGTGCTAGCTGGAGCTTATAAGGCATTGAGACATATAGGCAATTGCTTCATTTTCCCTCTTAATTCAGATTATTCAAGCATTACGTTTGAAAAGGAGTAGAATGAAAGTAAACGATCGATTCATCTAGATGCGACGACGCAGTAAATGCTGAGTTAAAGTTTCACAGAAGTCTGATATTGGTGGCAAATTAGTCTCTAGAGAAAAACAAAGTATTTTCCAAAATGGTTCTAAGCAGAATTAATTCAATATTCTGTAAATTAGTGGAACATATATGACCAGTGTGAGTTTCAGATACGCGATAAATTTATAATTTGTCATTGTGTCCCTCTTCCAAAGAGGTTTGTTCATAATATTGAGTGTATAAATGCTTTTCCAATCAGTGATGTATTTACCATGGTGAGATTGTACGATTCCAATTGCAAAGTTTGATTAATTTCTTTACAATGTATAGAAATGCTGTAACAGATAAACGTTTCAGTTGTAATTATAGGAAATTTTTCTCTGCCATATATCTAGATATTAATGCAAATTACGCCTCAAGTCGCCCAAGGGTTTGGCTAAATTATGGTATTCATTTACGTGGAAATTATTGAATTAGTGAACGTCAATAAAATTCAAAGTATTAATGGCATTGTTCTAAATGCGCATAACATTCTGAGATTTCGTAAGACGTAATTATTCCAGTTTGTTTCAATTCGCATATTAGTCAATTTAGGAGTGGTAAAAATTAAAAAAAGTCAATTACAATTCAGTTTCAAAAGTATCAAATTTAACATGTGGCCGGATGACCTCAACATTAAGATAACTATTCATGGTTAATCAATATTGTAAACATATTGCGGATGACAAAGTAAGAAAATGTATTCTGTACATATTTCAGTTTATTTATTTATTTATTTATTTATTTATTGTTTGATTTAACATGTCCTATAACTCTGCATAGAGCCTTTATTTTTCGAAAACAATTAAATCTATGATTCGGCTTCTACAACTATAATTGTGACCCATAAAATGTATGAGTGGTGGCTTGACAGTTAGGTGTTAGGTCTTCGGGGCCATGTGTGAAATAAAACTGAACATTTTCTAGATGGTGTGAGCTTCAATGTTTCAGTTTACTAGTACTTCCCTTATAAGTGAGAAACGTGCCTAGTTCCTAATCCTCGATCATATTTCTCCGCGGTCAATCTGTTCGAGTCGCGTAGTGTGAGAAAAAAAAGTGAGTTCTTTCCCACGCCGTTCTTCTCGGATACGTCACCGAAATCAACTGAACGTGAGGGCTTGGAGGAAAACCTTCTAGTGGACTGGTCATTATTTATTACCTGGGGAGTGTCGGAGGATTTTCGGCTGAAGACAGTAACATTTAGTTGATCCCCCCTTTAAATGTTATTTTATTGAAGTGATCCCGCCTCATAGCTAAATTTCGTGATACCCCTCAATGTCTTCGCACACATATTCACCTTTCGACGTGTATATTTAGTGCTTTTATCGGTCATATGAAAATAATATTTCTAACTATGCTGCTGAATTACAGATTAATAAAGCCGCCATGGTGCAGACTCTTGATCTGTGTCTTCCCGAGATCTGATCAGGGTTCTTAGCAGAAGTTTTCACAGGCGTCCAATAAAGCGTAACAGGCGGCATAAATTAAAGCGAGCCCGATACTACCGAAGGGGCAAGCCAACTTAGGGAGGTCCGGGGCTGTGCTCCCCGGAAAATGTTGAACTTGTAGTTTGCTAAAGATGCGATTTCATGCACTTTGGGAGGCAAAGTGTTACGGAAAATGAGTTGTTTATGATCATAAAATGGGACGTAGCAAGTAGCGCTGTTTCACTTTTTAAATACTATTTTCTTCTTGAAGCGTCTCAGTCTGTAAGTCTTAATTTATTGTTACATGTGTACAAATTTTAATGACCGGAACAGGTGGCTACATTCGATTTTACAGCCACTGGAATTCCACCGCTCTACTGAAAACACTGTGACTGATGTCAGTTGACGTACCAGTAACTAACCAGCCCAAGTGCTCGGAAACTGCAAAGTTACTTTTTAGAGTGCCAAATAGCCGTCCACCAAGTTTGTATGGGCATGTGACATTTAGTGATCCTTCCCGCTTTTGGACTCTCAGTTATGATTGATCTCCCCTTCTGTCGTCCTAAAAATCCAATGATCCCCCCCAAAATACTCCGCCCCCCTCCCCCCACAGGCGATAAATAATGACCGGTCCCTAGGAACTAGGCAAGTGAAATGTATGATCAAGGTAAAGTCTGCGTTCGAACCCGGTGGCCCCCGGCCGGGTTTCTCCGGCACGAAGTGACTAGGAGTAACTATTTTCCCCTTGGATGGGATGCTAGTCCATCGCAGGATTACCCCCTGCATTAAATCAGCTGGTACCCATTTAACTAGCTAGCTTAATTAGCTAGCTCAATAGCTTTAGCTGCTGTACACCCGCCACTGGAGCTGAGTGTGCACGGCTGGAAGTTACTGGGCATTTATGTACGGATCGAGCGATCCAGGTTCGAGCCCTGGCCGGGGACATTGTGTTGTGTTCTTGGGAAGAACACGTTACTCTCACAGTGTCTCTCTCCACTCAGGTGTATAAATGAGTACTTTGGCTGGGGGTAACCGTGCGATGGAGTAGCATCCCCTCCGGGGGTGGGGGTGTAGAAATACTCCTAGTCACTTCATGCTACAGAAACCAGGATAAGCTCCGGCCTGATGGGCAACTTGGCTCGTATACAGACTATACATACCATGTTCGGATGTTGTGTGTCCGTTGCAATCACGGCCCCCCTGCTCAGATTTAAATATTTTCTATTTTTCATGCCATCATGTTCTAAACTAAATAGAAAATAATTTTCCTATGTTTTCTAAGAAAATGATGCTCTTTTGAGGCCTAGAAAACTGCGGAACGCTCTCGAGTTCCGGTTGCGCGTCCAATGTCAGTTTTTCTAGACCTCAAGCGCGCATTATTTTTTTTAGAGAACATGGAAAACCATATTTTTTTCTGAATATATGTACCGTTTTGCATAGCTATATAATTTTGGACAGAAGAAAGAGAAGAGCGTTGCCTGGATTACAATTTGACAGATGCATCGGGATTTAGGTCTCGCCAACACTACGCCTGCTAAACTTGAAAACGTAACGATTGTCGGTCATTTTGGATTTGTGTTTGAGGAAAACTCTGTCAGGGAAATCACATAATTATCGTTACGCCATCGTTTTCGAAAAGCTCCGTTTTCAAAATGTTTCCGTTCACACGAAAACGTAAAGCTCACGTTTTCAAATTCCTCTGGTTTGAACTGAGAGCTCTTTCGAAAAGCTCCGTTTTCGTGACGGATCAGTGCAGACGGTTGGCCTAAACCGTAGAAATAAAGCTGCGTTTTCAAGTTCCTCTGGCGTAGTGTATACTGAGCGTAATAGTGGTAGGGCGTAGAGTGGATCGAAAGCAGGCTTCACGTGTTCACACTTAACGTATTTCTTGGAAACTAAAGTACTTAAGGACGGTGCCTGCTAAATACAAAGGTTTTTGCACAGGGTAGCACCACGCGGAAAAAGTAGATCTTTACAAGGGCTATTGGAATCCACAAAGAAAAATTATGGTAACCACGCATTTTTTCGAGATAATTAGCCTTGAATCTCAACAAAAATGCTGATATCAGCATTTTTCTGAAAAAAGAAGGAAAGGATATTTCTTCACAGATTTTCTTAGAATTCGCCTTTTCATACAGAAAAGCAAACACATTTATAAAGATCTTAAAACTAAATGGTAACTGGTAATATAAAAACCATTTTTGGTTTATTTTTATTAACAAAATCGATGCAACAGCGCTTTTTGCGTCTTCGAAAACCTTCCTCTGGTTCAACTAAAATACAGTCTAAATACCTTTTGCTCACAACCAGAAACTGATCACGTGTTGAATAGGCTTGCCACTTCCATTTTATAACATGAAATGTAGGGGTAACCGCGCGTTTTTTCGAGTTAGTGATCTTTTTTTGAAAACTTTTACGGTGTCCGTTACATTTTTTCCTGTCACCTCCCTAGTAAGTAAAACATTTGCGTATCTCGCACTTGTTTTGCGCGCGTACTACGCCATCTGCAGGTACATGTTTACAGTTGGATTTCAGTACAATTGCGACAGATAACAGCTAGTTTTTCAGCTGGATGACGTTAACAGTTAGTAGTTAGCGATATGCTGCTATTCTGGTGTTCCTGGTTTGGGTGCAGGTTCATTAATTAAAAAACTTGATTTGGTCACAGTAGAAAAGTTTTGCCTTCATTTTAGTCGTGTACCTGGTAGCGTAGTTGATTGCGTCAATGTCAACCCCAGCGCGCGCGTGCCACTTAAACCATGCCTTGCGTGATGCGCAGAACGTAAGAACTTTCGCTTTCACATAATCCGGATGGAATTATACGTGTAAAAAAAATGCGGTAAGGTTCGCAGTGCAGATTGTTTTTGAGCGCTTGTCTGAGCGTTAATAAGGTTACCAGTTCCCACCAGATCCCACCAGGGTTACTGCAGCTGAAACTTACAGTTTTTTTTAAACTGAACTTTTTAAACGTTTTAAACTGGCATGTGGTCTTTACACCGCCTACAACAACGACTTGTCCATTCTTCATCATATCAGTGCAAATTCCGGAAAACTAACGAAGCGCATGTAAAATAGATTGCTCAGTTGACAAAGTAAAGAAGCCAATAAAAAATAAAGCCTTCGCCTTCAACAGGACAGTATAGTAACACAGCTATAAATTTAATGTTCCAAAAAGCGTTGAATCGTTGAAAGCGTCCAAAGAACCCTTGAAACCCCAGAAATGTTTTCTTTCTTGTGTCCATGCCATACATTTCTTGAAGTTATTATAGCGTTACTTTTTCTGTTCTTGACTTTTCTTTGACCAGAGAACCATTCTTAATAACCATGATTAAAATTGATCGGGGCCGGGTTATTCAAAGCCCAATTGGGCTAACCAAGGATTAGCGAGAATTTTGATTTCAGTGTTGTAACTTTGCGGGGAGGTTTTTATTTCTATATTGTTTGGCCTACTGTTCTGAGTATTAATAATCTCAAAATCCACAAAACATAAGCAGTGAAAAACATTTTTCTTCAAGAAACATTTATACTTCGGTTAACTCTTAATCCTGGGTTAACGTTAACCGACTTCCGAACAAACCGGTCCAGATGAAAAGTAGCCAATAAACGTTCACCTTAAACGTGAGTTATTAAAATACAATTTTCATTTATTATAACAAGACAGTTGATATCGAGAGCGCTTTTCAGCTGTAAAAGCCTCAGTACAGCAACAATAAAATAACACCCCTGTCATTATCAGAACTCACGGCTTCCCATTCAGCTCTCAAAACAGAACTATGACAGAAATTACGTTAAGGCAGATACAGGATTGTTCAAAGGATAGGGGGCGGGGGCGGAGGGGGGGGGACCGGTATCTTGGGGTTGCAGAAGCAATGGAGCATATCCCCAAAATGTGGCAATTTGAGAACTGGAACCTAACTCGGAAAACTGTTACATAAGAAATACTAACAATAGAACAAAGTAGAAATTATGATGAGGTACCTGTTTAGAGTGTTTGCCTTTATTTCTTCCATAATATTTACAATTTGTTTAAGCTGCTTTTTTTTATCTTTTTGCTTTATCAAAAAGGAATAACTAGCTACCCAATCCACACCCCCGTCCCTAGATCCGTCCCCGTTACGCGAGGAATAAAAAGATGGTTGAGCCGAAAATTGACAGATTTATCGAGATTTGACAGATTCCGAGTCGCACACTTCAATTTTTTTTTTAAATTGTACATCTTGTCTTCTTTGTTTTGAGGAGCATGTTGAACAACCTCAAGGTAATAATCGTTTACTACAAAAGTAAACTACTCCGACGAACAGTCCCATAATTCGTACAACACAATAGTATGGAAAAACAGTGTGATTGTGTCAAAACATTGTGGACAGACTTTCCAAAACCAATAACGTTGAGCAATGGAAATAATCAGCGAGTGTGAACATATGTCTGAAATGGACACCGGAAACAAACTTCTAAAACCGACGTTTTAAAAACAGGAAAAGCCTGCTCGGGTAAATGAGATATGTGAAACTGGTTCAGGTTAACACCCTTTTGGGTATGTTTTGTCACGCGTCGAAAAATGCCATGAACGCTTGCCTTAGCCGTGTGTAGTTAGATTGACTTCGTCTCGCAAAAATACCGCTCATGGCACGATGTAGGCCAGGGATCCATGTCGCTATGAAAACCAAAATTGCCCAAGTAGGTGCACAAGTTATTGTTGTAGAAATATCGAAGGATTTAACAGCCGGGGCAAAAACAAACCAACAAAAATAAACCAGAAACAAGGCGTCATAAATATTAATACCTTTACATAAGATTTCTTCAACGCTTGTTTGAATCCTTATGATACCACCAGGGTCACTGCAGCTAAAACGCGAAAGTCCGTAAAATTGATTTTCGCTCCCTTATTGAAATTGCTTTCGACTTTAAGCTTGCATGTTACGTGAACACCATCAGGTTTAGGCCGTAAATTAAGGATGAAACTGCAATATATCACAACAACAACAACAACAACAACAACAACAACAACAACAACAACAATTCGTCAACCGCTATTAATATACCAGTGCAAATACAGGAACTCTGAAGACAACAAAAATGAAAAATATTACCTTTGACAAAGTGGACAAGCCAATAAAGAAAGCTGTTGACCCATAACACTACAGTAATAACCTGAGATATACTTCAATGTCTGTAAGAGCGTTCATTCATTCAGTAATTATAACTTGGGCTACCATGTAGTACCAGTTGAAAGATTTCGTTTACATATCAAGGTAGTGTCCTTTTGGTGGTTGGTGTTCTTCTTTTACTACTGAGCAAGTAATGAGTACAATGTCTGAACATCAAACCCAGGTAAAGTTTGTCACGGGAAACTTTTTTGACAGATTTTTTCTTCTGCACTTGGTCCGCGAACTGAACGGAACGATGACCAAACTAATTATTTTCTTAAAGACTACATAATTTATTGTAAGTCACAAATGAAGGGGATGGAACTGCAATATTGCAACAATTCGTTAATCACTACTACTTCCAGTGCAAATACAGGAACACTGAAGAAAGCTCATGTGAAAAATATTATTTTGACAATTGAAAGTGGACAAGCCAATAAAAGCTAATAAAGAGAGCTGTTGACCCATAACACCACATGTACAGTAATAACCTGAAATATACTTCCATGTCTGTAAGAGTGCAACCGTGAAATACCAGTTGAGAGATGTTGTTTACATATCAAGGTAATTTCACTTTGGTGGTTGAATATTTGTCCCCAAATCATGCTTTTCCATACCATATATACTGACTAATACGCGTGAAAAATCTAAGCCGGGGTGTGTTAGTTAAAGATGACTTTGCTGACAGATTTTCCTTGTGCACTTGACCTGTACGTTCTCAGTAACATGTATAAAGGCGGTCCGGGAACTGAACGGAACGATGAACAAACTAATCATTTTCTGAGAGACTGCATAATTTATTGTGAAACCTTAAACACCAAACGAACTGATTTAGTTTCATTTCCTTTGAACAAGGACTCTGGGACGATGATGTTCTTCCTATTGTTCGTTTTATTCGTGTCGATCATTCCTTCGCGTTCCCAGTTTAATACACTGGACGCGATTAAGGTTCGCAGTGCTATTTCTTTGCCAGGACGCGTTCTTACCAATGAAGAGGCCCTTAAATTACTACAAAGACAAGCAGAAGTAACATATCAAGTAAATCTGCCCCAATATCTTGAGGAGATACGGCAGACCAACCCAAACCTTAAACCTGATTTCTCCGATCAGAGCTTCACAGTAGTCGGCTCTCTGGCCACCCTCGATGCATCTATCACGTTTGCGGAAGGAATCGAGAACGTCAACGTCATTCGTTCTGACAGCGCCGCGGGGTTTTCAGCAAAGCCAAATCCGACCAATGACAAAGTACACACTGGCGTTCAGCGCCTGAACGCTGCCCGGAACATCCTGTGGCTCTTGAAAGAGAAACTAAAGAGTGGCGTCGTGTCAACAGATGCGTCGCTGATGGACAAACTTAGAGAAGCGCAGACTTGGCTTTCTACGCAAACAGGAGGACATCTTGGTCAAGGAATGTCATTTGCGTTGGAAAAAGCGGGGGTATTCAAAGCATTAGAAGCCAAATGGGGGCCTAACTCGGTGAAGTTTCAGAGTTTCTC